GGTTCATAGTTCATGTGTTTCCATTCATTTGGCTATTTGTCCCTGTGCTTTATCCAACCTTGGTCTCAACAATTCTTGCTTATATAAACCCTCCTCCTTCTCACTAATTGGACTCCCAGAGATCCACCCAGGACCTAGTCATGGATCTCTGCATCCAGATCCCTCAGTAGTTGGATGAGGTTTCTAGCACTACAATTAGGGTGTTTGACCATCCCATCACCAGAGTAGGTCAGTTCGGGCTGTCTCTTGACCATTGCCAGCAGTCTGTTGTGTGGGTATCTTTGTGGATTTCTGTGGGCCTCTCTAGCACTTTGCTTCTTCCTATTCTCATGTGGTCTTCATTTACCATGGTCTCCTATTCCTTGTTCTCCCTCTCTGTTGTTGATCCAGCTGGGATCTCCCACTCCCCCAAGCTCTCTTTCCCTGGACCCTCGCCTTTCACTACTCCGACTCATGTCCAGGCTGTTCATGTAGATCTCATTCCATTTCTCTGTCATTGGGCGATCCCTGTGTCTTTCTTGGGGTCCTGTTTTCCAGGTAGCCTCCCTGGTGATGTGAGTAGCAGACAAGTCATCCTTGTTCCACATCTAGTATCCTGCTATGAATGAGTACATACCATGTTTGTCTTTCTGAGTCTGGGTTACCTCACTCATGCCCAACAGTCCAATTAAGAAATGGGCTATAGAACTAAACAGAGAATTCTCAACAGAGGAAACTCAAATGGCCGAAAGACATTTAAGGAATTGCTCAACATCCCTAGTCATCAGGGAAATGCAAGTCAAAACAACTCTGAGATACCACCTTACGCCTGTCAGAATGGCTAAGATCAAAAACACTGAAGACACCTTATGCTGGAGAGGATGTGGAGCTAGGGGAACTCTCCTCCACTGCTGGTGGGAATGTAAGCTTGTACAACCACTTTGGAAATCAATATGGCACTTTCTTAGAAAATTGGGAATCCATCTCCCCCAAGATCCAGCTATACCACTCTTGGGCATATACCCAAGGAATGCTCAACCACACCATAAGAGCACTTGTTCAGCTATGTTCATATCAGCATTGTTTGTAACAGCCAGAACATGGAAACAATCTAGATGCCCTTCAACTGAAGAATGGATAAACAAAATGTGGTACATATACACAATGGAATACTACTCAGCAGAGAAAAACAATGACATCATGAGGTTTGTAGACAAATGGATGGATCTAGATGTTTCCCATTTTTTAATGTGGGGAAAAATTATCTTTTAACTAGTTTCTCCCTTTAAGATATCTTAATTGACTCACCAAGTCTGTGTAGAATAGTAAAAGTCTGAGGGAATTTCAAAGCAGCTACTTAGCATGGTGGCAGTACAAAATGGGAATCAAGAGAGAGAGAGAGAGAGAGAGAGAGAGAGAGAGAGAGAGAGAGGAGAGAGGGAGAGAGAGAGGGAGAGAGAGAGGGAGAGACAGCCTACTACTTACCAGGAGAAAAAAAAGTTAAAGAAAGTCCATCTATGTGCTCTAGCCTGAGCCAGGGACTCTGTAATCCCACAAGCAGTCTGGCTGCTTTGCTTGCAGCTACATATGGCCCCTTGCAGCTCTGGAGGACTGCAGCTCTGGCTGTGTGCTCCAACCAAGCTGGGGCCCACAAGGTCTCAGCCAAGTGGCTTTTTTATGAATTCCTGACCCACAGTTGGACGCCAAATGTGGCCAAATTTCTAAGCCGGTCTGATCAAATAAAAAAACACAGAGTCAAATATAGGAGTGAAAGCCTTAGAGATTAGGGAAATAGTGAGAGCCACTAACCAACCTTACCTCACCAGCTCTGCAGCTTCCAAAAGTACCAAGACTTCCTGTCTACCCAGGCTGTTGCTGCCTTGCTGTTCTGCACTCTCTTTGGCTATCTAGCCCAGATACCTCACTTCCTTGTCACTGCCTGTCTGTACAGACCTCTAAGTCTCTATGATTCGTACTGGGATTAAAGGCCTGTGTCTCCACACTTGGCTCTGTGCCCTAGTATGGCCTTGAACACACAGAGACCCTGACTGGTAAGTGATAGGATTAAGGGCATGTGCTACCACTGCCTGACTTTTGTATTTACCTTAAAGTGGCTTGCTGTTTCCTTTGATCTCAGGCAAGCTTTATTAACATACAAATAAAATAACACCACATTTGAGCACATATAAAATATCATCACACAAAACCATAGGTAAAACTCACACAGAAGAAAAATTTACCTTATCTCAGCTCTAAAAATCAATTGTGAATATCTTCACTTCCAACTGGTAGATTATAAATTAACTAGACTATGTGTGATAATTTATACCAGAGTTCCTTAAATGTGTGTATCCTTTAATCCCATGACTTCATGCATAAAATGTCTTTCTAAGTATGTTCTAAAGTATATCCCATGTAGTTTTTAAACTAAGAACAAAATAGTGTAAACAACTGAAATGTCAACAAAGAGGGATTGTCAAATTAGCATAATTAATTTATGCTGTATAGACATGATTACTAATTATATATGGCTTTAAAAATTTTGCAGATCAATACTTATAAAATGAAAAAATGCTTATTATTTATTACAAAATAATTAGAAGCATGGTGTAAATTGGTGTGGTAGTATAAGGCTATAATCTCAGCTTTGAAGAGCCTGAGTCAAGAGGACTGTGAATTTGAGACCAGCCTGGGCTACCCAGTAAGTATGGTACAACAACTATCTCAAAACAAACAAACAAACAAAACCCCAAACTACCAAAAACTTCAAACAAAAACAAAGCCTGAGTGTGGAGCTCAGTGCTGGGGTATTTACTGAACATGCTCAATATTAGATTGGATATCCTAGCAACATTAAAATGTCGGCAATAAGACCACTATGTATGAAATGACATCAGTGTTACCAGTAAACATTATCTATGAATAAAAAGCTAAAAGTTAATACCAACAGTTTCACAGTGGAAATGTGAGCACTTCAAAGTATCCTAAAACACACTTATCTTTAATAAGCATAATTCAAAAACAAGAATTTTCATCATGCAATTTCCTCTTTTCACTTTGGTCAAGAGGAGGGGCAGAAAATCATGAGCTTGAGTATCACTCAAGAGGCGACTCAGTTCTGCCTTTTCTCTTGGAGCCTCTGAAGGCTATAAACCAAGGAACACCAACTTCGCCCCCACTTGGGGATCAATTATCTCCACCGGAATCGACTCCTAGAAGAGACACAGGTAACAACTGCTTTTATTATTTTTCTATCATATGATTATATATACTCTAGAGAATTTCAGATGGTGTGAAGTGAGAACAGAATTACTGGGGAAGCCCTGTTGGTTCTATTAGATCTGATTGACTCTGGCAGCATGAGAAAACTAGAGTTTGGCATTGTTTATTTTCTTTCTGATTGTGCAGTGACTTCTGCTGTGTGCTAAGAAAGTAAGGTAGAGTAATCTATGGAGTTCATTACTCTTGAACTGAGTCAAATGTTTATATATAATTCATCTTGAAGGAGTCATAGGAGCCAGGTAAGATGGGTCAGTGTGTAAAGATACTTGCTACACAAGCCTGACTGACCACCTGAGTTTTTTCCTTGAAACCCACATAAAGGTGGAATGAGAGGGCTCACCTCACTCGGTACAGTTGCCCTCCGGGCACATGTGCACTGTGGTACAGACACTACCCTAAGATCAGTAATAATCTAAGAAACACATTCTCTAATGGAAAGCTTCCTTTTTCTTAAGAAATTAGGGAAAAATATGAATAATTCCAGAGATCTTCATAAATAAAAAACTAGAGAAGAATCAATACATGTATTGTTTGTTTTTCATATTTTCTGTTGGCCACAATCTCAGTTATCAATGTAAGGGGCAAGGTGAGTTACAAATATTTACTATTGAATAATAATTATATATATATATATATATATATATAATCAGATTGGGTCTTTTATTAGCATTAACCAATGACTGATTAGTGATAAAATTAATTTTCAGGTAGGCTCCTCTGGCAATATCATATACTAGAAAATAATGTAGGCTTCTCTGGTAATATCATATACTAGAAAATAATATGTGAAGTGATCATTGACATGAAATAATTTGAGATTAAACCTTCAGGTGGTATCCTGCTATGCCCATCTCTGTTGCTCCCACACCTCACCCTTGCAATACCCCTTTCTACTTTCCTGGTTGCTGCAGTTACTCCAGGTTAAGTAGCATGTCTGAGGATTTGGAGCCAGGAACCTCAGATGTAAGAGAACATGTAGCTGTTGTTTTTCTGGGTTTGAGTTTCCCACACTGTAGGATCTTTTCAAGTTGCATCCATTTACCAGGCCTGACCATGGAGAAGAATGTGTAGGCTGTGGCTGGATGGAGAGGTTGGACATCTCAGGTGTTTGGGTTTAACCCAAGAAATATTTATATGTCCTGGAGCTCAAAATTTTAATCATCTCCTATATTAATATTCAAATGTTCTTTTTGATGTGCTATATGGGAAACCCAGATAGACATATATATAATTGAAAAGACTGCAAGAACATTTTTATATTCATGTGTTTATCAAAATGTATAATTTTAAAGCAAAGATTTTTATTTATACAGAAATCTTTGAACTTTTGTTATTTGAATTGATAGTTTAAAAGTGTTTCAATGAATTGTGGTGGTAGCAATTTTGCCTAACAATTTTATATATTTGGAATATTTTGAATTAACATGCTTTTTCAATATTGCAATGTCTTACATGTATATTTTAAATTATTTCCATATTTCTTAATAATAAGTGCTGTGACCATTAGAGGTATAAATGACAAAAATCTTCAAAGACATCTCACTTCTAGTGGAAATCAGGGTCAGTTCATGTGATTTAGTATGTTTGGATCATTAAGGGAGTTTATCAGGCCCCTTGCCTTCCCACCCCACTGCAGCATCAGATCTAGGTACCTTCTTAAAGGTGAACATTTTAACTTCTTCTTTGGATACCATTCAAATTTGGATTTTATCAAAGAATATACTTCACTTACTCCCAAGATGAGTGATGAGGAGATTACTTACACAAATGTGAGATTTCATAAATCTTCAGGGTTGCAGAATGGAGGAAGGTCAGATGAGACTCAAGGGCCCAGAGAAGCTGGCCATAGAAGTAAGTGTTTAAAGTGTCTAAATTCATCTGTTTTTATGCACTGTAACTTTTGACATTTGAAAACAATATTCCACTGCCTTCTATCGAAAACTATACCTTCTGTTTCAGCTGGGCTTGGTGATGCACAGGGATGTGAAAGAGACAAGTGAGGATGAGTGGGAGAGTAATCATGTACAAATTGTTCAAAAATAAGTTTAAAAATTGTAGGGCCCTGGTCTCCTCCCATATTGAGTAAACCCCTTGCCTGCTTGCCGACCTTGACCAGGTGTCCTCCCTATGCTAATTCCCTGCCAGTATCCACCCTCCTGAATGCTTTAGGGAAGTTCCTTGTTTGTGTACCCTGCATTTTGGGCGTTAACAGCTTAGATGCAAGGATGTAGAACATTCAGTAGCAAACTTCTGCCCTCCGGGGATCCGCCATTGTGCTGTAAGCCTGTATTTAAGGTTTCCTCCCTCTTTCAATAAACGGCATTCGACTGGCACTCGGCATTCAGCCGTGGCGAATGACTCGCTGTCTCTTGTCCCTTATTTTTTAATCCACAGCCCCTCGCTCGGACATGGTGAATGGGTGGTGGTAGCGCGGGCGTTATCCCTACAAATGGAGGTTCCTACCGAGATCCGAGAAAGAAGGGACAAGCTGATGGACACCCAAAAGGTAAGGCTGGCCAGCAATTTAAAGAAAAAAAGAAAAGATAAGGGTGAATTGAAATGGGTGCAGCTAGCTCACAGTCAGTTGATTGGACTGCTGAAGCAGGAAGCCACTGAAGTTAAGAAAGGGCAAGACAGCTAAAGATTTTAAATAAAAAAGGAAATCTTCCCAAAAGAGAAGAGGGAAGGAAAGGAAATTTCCCATTAGAAAAGGGAGAAAAAATTTTAATCAAGAAAAAAGGATTTCCCGATAAAAAGGAAAAACATTTTTTAAAACTAGGCCTAAAGATTAGGGCCCTATAAAAGAAAGATAAAAAAAAGAAAAAAGCCTCTTCCCAGTGGTAATGGAGGAAGAAAAGTCTCTTTCCAATTATAAAATTTTCAGGATAGCTAAAACTCTGAGCTCTTTCTGCCTGCCAGCACAGAGCGGCAGCATCTGAATTACAAAGAATCGGCAAATAGGCCTCATTGCTGCTGGCTGAACAGCAAGCGAGCCCAGAGGTTAGAAGTTTTGCTGTTTGTTTGCTTATTTTGTTTCAAATGTTTTTTATTTTTCCCTCAGAATGAGAATAATTCAATATTTAGGATCCCTTCGTGGGAAATGTTTTTCTGTTTTTCCCTTATGGCGGGAATAACTCATTATTGTTAGGTAGTCCCTTCATGAGAGTAGAAAGTTTAAACGTGAGTTTGTGTGTGCGGGGTGCATGCCCAGCGGTGGACATGCAGGAGATAGCCCAGAGCAGCAGGTGGACAGGTACGCCAGTGGGAGGCGGAGCTGCGATAGAGCACGGCCCAGGGCGGGCACCGGCACTAGAGCCTGAGCACTGGGTGGAGCCAAAGCTAAGCCGCAGCTTCATCTTGCTCCAAGTGAGCAGAGGCCCGGGAAGGGACTAGCGCCTAAAAGTTTAAACGGGCCTAACTTCTGATGAAAAATGGTTTCAGTCAAGATATAGAATGCTAAGTCAATGCTGTTTGAATAAAAGATGTTTTGTTCTTTTGATTGTCTTAATAAATGTTTAGATAAATGTTTGATTCTCATGGTAGATAAACTAAAGGAACAAGATTCATAATTTTGAACTATATATTAGGTGTGCTCTTGTCTGTTGATCATTACTGAAAATTTGGTTCTACAATTTAAGTTGCTTTCTAGAAATTCTTGGTTTAATTCTATAGAAATATAACACCTAAAATGGATTGGGTTGTTAGCTTATTAAATAATGTTGCTAAGATAAACCCATAAATAATAATATCTTACTGATAAAGAGGTTACAAAATTATTTTTCCAGTAAATAAAATACAGGTAAAGCCGGGCGGTGGTGGCGCACGCCTTTAATCCCAGCACTCGGGAGGCAGAGCCAGGCGGATCTCTGTGAGTTCGAGGCCAGCCTGGTCTCCAAAGCGAGTTCCAGGAAAGGCGCAAAGCTACACAGAGAAACCCTGTCTCGAAAAACCAAAAAAAAAAAAAAAAAAATACAGGTAAATTGTTCCACATTGTTAATACTTGGCTATTTGTGCTAATGTGTTACTTGAAATTTATAAAAAAGGATCCTCTTTTTAAGATTTTATAAAAATACTCCAGAGTATTGCCTAAAGTTACCTCTTCAAATCCTATAAAGATTGTATTTAATGCTTTTATAATTGACATATGTAAAAAGGACCATAAAAATAAAAGCTGATGATAGAATTGCTCAATTATTATTGCTTTCATATTTTAAAGGCAAAATGGCGCCTATATGTAGAACTGGAGGTTTTAAAAATACAGGAGAAAAGATGTTTTGACAAATAGTTATCAATGCTAAGCAGCCTAAAATTAAAAACAAAATTATATGGGATTGAGATTAAAAGATAATTGGATTCTGGTGCTGGATATATCTATAATTTCACAAGAATCCTGAGATCCCAATTGGCCCCTTAAGAATTCCATCTCTAACCTACACGGTATCGGCACAGCTCAGACACCATTGCAGAGCAGGCTACTCTAAATTGGAAGGATGAGGAAGGTCATGCAGGAACTTTTCAACCCTTTGTGCTACCTGACATTCCAGTGAACTTGTGGGGACGAGATGTGTTAGACGATATGGGAGCAGTGCTTACTACACAGCCTGTACAACAGATACTAAAAAGTCAGGGCTACTGCCCAGGCAGAGGCTTAGGAAAAATGTTACGAGGAGACCAACTCCCTGTGGCAGACAAAACTGTGTCACTAGAGGTCCTGGGGATGCAAGAGAATTAGGGTCTTTTACATAGGGGTCACTGCACAGCAGCCTTCGATTATACAACCAATAAAAATCACTTGGAAAAGTGATGACCCTGTATGGGTGGAACAGTGGCCTTACTAAAGAAAAATTGGAGGCTGTGAACACATTAGTTAAGGAACAGTTAGATGCTGGACATACCATTCCTTCCACTTCACCTTGGAACTCACCTATATTTGTTATTAAAAAGAAGTTAGGAAAATGGAGGCTATTACAGGATCTTAGAGCTGTAAATAAAACCATGCTTCTCATGGGAGCAACACAGCCTGGCTTGCCTGCCCCTGTGGGAATTCCTAAACATTGGCATTTAATTGTGGTTGACTTGAGGGATTGTTTCTTCACCATTCCTTTGCATTCCGAGGACAGTCCTCGCTTTGCTTTTAGTGTTCCTTCAGAAAATCTTAAGAGAACCTTATCAGAGATATCAGTGGATGGTATTGCCTCAAGGAATGGCCCATAGCCCTACTATATGTCAAATTTATGTGTCTTTGGCCCTAGCTCCAGTTCGAAAAGCTTTTCCAGATGTTTATATAATTCACTACATGGATGATATATTAATGGCTGCTAAAGATAAAAAACTTGTTTGATGCCTTTTCTAATTTACAAGAAGTTCTTAGCCTGTCTAATTTACAGTTGGCCCCAGAAAAGGTACAGGTATCTTTTCCCTATCATTATTTAGGTCATGAATATTTTTGTTTTTCTCATTCACCTACTGGAATGTTTTGGCAAACAGGTCCTATTCTATGGGTACATTCCCCAGCTTCTCCAGCAAAAATCATTACTCCTTATCCACAGGCTGTTGCTCAGATTATATTTAAGGGAATCAAGATCAGTGTTCAAACTTTTGGTAAGGAGCCAGATATTGTGATGACCCCATACACCCAGTCTCAAATAACATGGTTGCAAGCTAATGATAATGATTGGGCCATATTAACATGCTCCATGCAGAGTCAGTTTAATACTCACTACCCCTCCAATGATGTGTGTAAAATTTTTAAATTGCATCCTGTTATATTTCCCAAGATAGTACAGATGACTCCTATTCCTCAGGCCCATGTGGTATTTACTGATGGCACTTCACGTGGTTTTGCTGTGGTAGTTTCTGGTAACATAGTAAAGAGAATGAAAGTCCAGGGCACTTCTGCCCAGATGGCAGAGGTACAGGCGCTGTTACATGCTTTACAGATGTTTTCTGATGAGAGTGTAAATATTTATACTGATAGTCAATATGTGGGACATGCCATTATGCCTTTAGAGACAACAGCCTACATACCGTCCATTTCTCCCATTCATGAATATTTATTGCAAGTGCAAGGACTTATATGGTCCCACTCATATAACCTTTATGTGGGCCATATTAGAGCTCACACCCAATTGCCTGGACCTCTAAGTGAAGGTAATCAGAGGGCTGATGCCATTACTCGTATGGCTGTCACATTAGTTTGTTCTGCCTTTGATAAGGCTACTCAGTTGCATCAACGTTATCATCTTAATGCTGGATCTCTTCGTCATCATACAGGCATAACCCGGGAACAAGCCATCCAGATAGTTAAATCATGTCCTATTTGTGTTGAATTTTTACCTGTTCCTCATTTGGGAGTTAATCCCCGAGGACTTTTACCTAATCATGTGTGTCAGATGGACGTCACACACGTGCCTTCCTTTGGAAAATTACAATATGTCCATGTGTCTATTGATACATATTCTCTATTTTTTGCTTCTGCTCATTCAGGGGAAAAGGTTAAGGATGTTAAGAATCATTGCCTTCATGCTTTTGTTCACATGGGAGTGCCAAAATACATAAAGACTGATAATGGTCCTGCCTACAGCAGTACAGGATTTTCAAAATTCTGCCAAGACTTTTCTATTGTTAATAAGACTGGTATTCCTTATAATCCTCAAGGACAGGCTATAATAGAACGCTGCCATCGTACCTTAAAAACATATATTTCTAAAGTAAAAAGGGGGGAGCTAGGGGCTCATCTCTCCTCTCCACATTCTATTCTTTCCCTTGTTTTATATATTTTAAATTTTTTATCGGTGGATTCTGCTGGAGTATCCACTGCAGATAAGCACTGGAGGGCTCCTGTTGCAAATCATCCTCTGGTGCGACGGAAGGATCTTTCTACTGGCACTTGGAAGGGACCTGATCCGGTGTTGGTGTGGGCCCGGGGATCTGTTTGTGTCTTTCTGCAGGACAATGAAGTTCCTCTTTGGCTTCCTGAGCGCTGTGTGCGGCCTGTGGCTGCTGCTGAATCCCGACTTGGCAGAGACCTATTGGGCCTTCATAAAAAACTCTTCCCTTCTGATGCCAATGGGGATTGAGAGCCCAATATGGCCAGCCTTGGCAAGCATTAATGTAAGCCTAGGAACTGTAGCCATGTGGTTGGATTCTTCAGAAGGTAATGTATGGTAACTTTTTTCAAAAATGTTGAGAATGTGTCACACCTTGGAGATTAAGGATAACTCTGAAGGTCACTGACCTCTATTTGTTAACAGTAGCATGCCAGCTAAGCCTTTTCACATTTTGCAACCCTCTTCAAGCTGGTGTAGTACCTACTTTTCAGGAATGGCTCTGTGCAACATTTATTGGCCTCCTGAAATTCATCTAGCCTTTTTGAAGATACCTTAAAATTTGTGAGCCTGAATGTAGCCATTAATGAGACCATTAGTTCTGCTCCTTGTTTGCTGTTTTTGTTTTTGTTTTCTTTATGGTTCTTAGTTGTTCTTTTGCAGACCTACCAGCCTAAGTAGTGCTGGGATCAAGAAAAATGGGCCTTGGTGGTTCGTGTTCCTGGAGCTGCATCCATGCCAGTGGACCATGGCAGTTAGACACAGATGATGCTCACACGCTCCAGAAGAGACTCTGACATCGCTGTTGCTGTTGTTGCTGTTATAGCAGTGGTGGCCACTGCTGCTATTGCTTCTGGGATGGCTATTTCATAATTGGGTTCCACAACTAGCACAATGGAAACCCTGGCAACAAAAGTAGCTACCACAGTTAGTTAATCTTTTATTTTATTGGGCATGATAAATTTAATTCTGCATTTATACATTTTTTTTTTTTTTGGTTTTTCGAGACAGGGTTTCTCTGTGTAGCTTTGCGCCTTTCCTGGAACTCGCTTTGGATACCAGGCTGGCCTCGAACTCACAGAGATCCGCCTGGCTCTGTCTCCCGAGTGCTGGGATTAAAGGCGTGCGCCACCACCGCCCGGCTCATTTATACATTTGAATTGGCTTTGTAAGTTGTAAAATTTAAAACTCAAGTTCCATTTGCTTATGGGATACCACCTTACAAAGACTCCAATTTGCAGTAAGGCTCATTTAAGAAGGGAATGGCTCAATCACCTTTAGCCTCCTGGCTATGGGTGGGTTAGGACTTCTGTTGGTCTTTTCTGTGTTGCACAGATTGCAAGCCCAGCACCACTTTGAGATCTTTGGCAACAGTTTACTCTTCAGCTCACGAGGTTGAGCCTGTATGATAATGAGTATTCAGAGACGGGTAATGCTTGGGGGGCGCTCACCAACCTAAGACAGAGCACTTGCAGGGCCTGGGCAGGTGTCTCCATGACGGGTAAGGTGACCTGCTGACGTCCCATGCAACCTAAGTCAGAAGCTCATTTTTTAGTAAAAAGGGGGGACCTGTAGGGCCCTGGTCTCCTCCCATATTGATTAAAGCCATTGCCTGCTTGCCGACCTTGACCAGGTGTCCTCCCTATGCTAATTCCCTGCCAGTATCCACCCTCCTGAATGCTTTAGGGAAGTTCCTTGTTTGTGTACCCTGCATTTTGGGCGTTAACAGCTTAGATGCAAGGATGTAGAACATTCAGTAGCAAACTTCTGCCCTCCGGGAATCCGCCATTGTGCTGTAAGCCTGTATTTAAGGTTTCCTCCCTCTTTCAATAAACGGCATTCGACTGGCACTCAGCATTCAGCCGTGGTGAATGACTCGCTGTCTCTTGTCCCTTATTTTTTAATCCACAGCCCCTCGCTCGGACATGGTGAATGGGTGGTGGTAGCGCGGGCGTTATCCCTACAAAAAATTAGGTGATCATTTTTAAAAGGAAATGAAAACAATAACTCTATTTCTACCTGTTAGCTAGTAACAGAGAAAGCCAGATGGATAGAGTAGAACAATAGAAGTCTATGAGAAAAAATTTCTTGAGAATTGATGAGTGAGAAATGAGTACATTCTGTCAAATTGGAAAAAACCATTAGGAGGTTTTTATTATTTAGTCTATGCAAGAAGAATTCTGAAACCTTTGAAACTGAAAAACTAGAGTCTGAAGAAACACCAAATGTTCTAGAGATATGAAATCTTAATGAAATGCAAAGTACACATTAGAAGCAATACTTTCTCTTTTGCAAAAGGTATTTTAATTGTCTTAAATATTTCCAATGAAAGAGCAAAAGTAGTTAATCAGAGAAGGAAATCTCTTCCTGGGAAGAAGCTGCAGAGGAAGAGGGGATAAGAGAGGGTAGTGGGAATGGGAATGACTAAAATACATTATGCATTTGCAGAAATGTTAAAGAATAATTAAGTTTATTAACACAAAAAAGGAAATCTGACTTTTCTGTTCTCTCTCTCTCTCTTTTTTTTCTTTCTCTACATGAACTATAACAGCTGAACTCCAAGCTGAGAACTTTGATTCCCAGCACCTTAGATTCACAAAGATGTTTAGTATTGTGTAGAAAAAAATGGAACTTATGGAAAAAAGAGGGAGTTGACTTCTAGGCCCCAGAATGGACGGGCATGTATACAAGTCAGCTCCAGAATAGCCTCGGTTCCCTATATTTCTCAAGAATATCCATCCCTCTTCCCTTCCTCCTCATCCTCAGTTACTCTCCCTTGATGGAATGCATACTCCAGTTTGGGATCATCTACCTGGACTGTGTCTGTGCCTCCAGTGCTTTCTGAAGGATGCACTTTTGATCCTGTAGAAATGGGTGAGGGGCCTGTGCCTGTCATAAGGTTACTTTTAGGCTGAGTCAGGAAGATTGAGAATGTAAGGCTAAAGGTAAAAAAAGTTTGTAATCCTTTGAAACTTCACTCATGTAGGATTTCTACAGTGGGTGCATTTTAGGTGGAAATCTACAAATTATGAAAGCACATGTTCAGTCAGTTTGTCTGATGGACGTCTGTAAAACTATTAGAGACCAATATCCCTTTGTTTCCATGCTACACAAAATTATAACCAGTGTCGGGACTTGCTCTTTTTATGGTGATTATTTTCTTGCTTTGTTTTTTGTTTGTTTGCTTGTTTTGATTTAAGAGTGTTCAGTTCCTTGGCACCTCATTGCAATACCTCTGGGAATCATTTGTTCCACTCTGCTGGTGATAGTTGCAGTGTTGATGAAACATGGTGAGTAACTGTTATACATCTTCTTTGCATTTCTGCCTAAGTAATAACTTTAGAAACAAATTATGTAGCTAACACCCTCATCCATTGTTCTGCCTATAATCAGGGGAATGTGCCAGATAGCTCTGGACTATGTTTTCATTTTGTTTTGTTTTGTTTTTGCCTGACATACTACAGTGTGCTAGTCTCATATATACCTACTCTATTAACTCTGGGGCTGTAGGAAGCTGCTTTGTTCTGTCTCATTCTTCATATTGTTCCTTTTGAAGACTTGATGGTAGTCTGCTTTCTGAGCTTAAGTGATTGTGAATAGTATGTAATAGTCTATGAGACACAGCTGTGCCAAAGAAATAATGACGTTCTTTTCAATTTTCTCAGTGTATATTAAGGACATGGATAAATGAAAAGTCTTCATCTGTACAGAGACAATAAAGCTTAAGTTTTATTGGATTCCTTTACATGTTTAGAGGAAATCACTCCCAGGCTGTGTTAAAACATGACTACATATCTGGATATTTTGCTTCCCCTCTGATCCAATGAGAATTGTACCATTTCTTAATGTTTCTTAGTTCACATTTTCATGCTATGTTAAGTATTCACTAAATATTTTACTTAGGTATTTATTGGAAAGTTTTGTGTTGTAGAAAATTAAATAATTGGAAGTTGTGGTACATCCACCACAATTTTATTCAGCTGTATTGTTTGATTTACATTAAAGTTACCCCGATAGAGAGAAATTCGTGTTTCCATTCCTGTAGTGAGTTCATTGAGGTGTTATTTTCTAAATGTCAAAGTACCAGTTAAAGTAGTGATGTGTTGGTTGTCAACATGGGCTTTCTCTGTTATCTTATATTTCAATATTTACTCCTTATGAGCATTTTCAGTGTTATATCTGTTGCTAATTTTAGTTTTTCAGTATAGTCAAGAAAAACATGAATTGCAGAAAACTCTAAATAATCTCCATAAAGAGTACAGCACCATGCAAAATGAGAGCTACTTAAGGGAAGAAATGTTGAGAAATAAGTCTAAAGAGTATGAGGCCCTCAAAGACCATCTGGACTCCCTCAACAGAAAAGAGAACAGATACCATGGGGAAACTAATCTTGTTCCAGATTGCATACAGAGCACAGGTAAGGAGGGGATCTTGAGTAAAGAATTGCAATATTCTGCATTGTTTCTTCCCCAAAAGATTTGAAGTCCAATTAGCAGCTTACGATGCTGGTGATCTGTGGGTTAATGGCTTGGGTTTTCTGTATCTCATAGAGGCTCCTGGAACCCCAGAAATGCTTGTTTGAATAAATAGAATCTTACAGCTTCTAGAACTCAGTGGCTGTTCTGGCTCCAAAGGGATGGAATTGCAAGTTAGCACAGCTGACAATTCAGATTCTTTTGGTCTTTGAGTCTCCAACTGTTTTGCTGAGAGAACATGGACATTTCTAGCTGAGTGGATTTTCCATTATTTTTAAAATTTTTTTATTTATTTTTATTTATTCATTTTTATTTTGCAGTACAGTTTAGTTCTACATATCAGCCACGGATTCCCTTGTTCTCCCCCCTCCCATCCCCCTCACCTTCCCTCCAGCCCCTCCCCCATTCCCATCTCCTCCAGGGCAAAGCCTTCCCCACAGACTGAGATCAACCTGGTAGACTCAGTCCAGGTAGGTCCAGTCCCCTCCTCCCAGGCCGAGCCAAGCGACCCTGCATAGGCCCCAGGTTTCAAACAGCAAACTCATGCATTGAGCACAGGACCCGGTCCCACTGCCTGGATGCCTCCCAAACAGATCAAGCCAATCAACTGTCTCACCCATTCGGAGGGCCTGATCCAGTTGGGGACCCCTCAGCCATTGGTTCATAGTTCATGTGTTTCCATTCATTTGGCTATTTGTCCCTGTGCTTTATCCAACCTTGGTCTCAACAATTCTTGCTCATATAAACCCTCCTCTTTCTCGCTAATTGGACTCCCAGAGATCCACCCGGGGCCTAGCCATGAATCTCTGCATCCAAATCCCTCAGTCGTTGGATGGGGTTTCTAGCATGACAATTAGGGTGTTTGGCCATCCCATCACCAGAGTAGGTCAGTTCGGGCTGTCTCTCGACCATTGCCAGCAGGTTTAAATAGACTTATAGAATTCATATAGATAGAGTCATAAAAATAGTGTGTGTGTGTGTGTGTGTGTGTGTGTGTGTGTGTGTGTGTGTGTATGTGTGTGTGTGTGTGAAAATGTGTTTTCCTTCTGCCTTGGTATGAGAGAGTTGGCTTATTTGTGACCATGGTGCCGCTGCCTGCAACACATTCTGGAGCTTCAAAATGGCGTCCACACTTGTGTAACTCTGTCAATGACACAGTGAATGAGGCCACAAAGATGAAAATATCAAGCATTACAAGGAACTTTTCTTACCGTGTATTGTGACTAGTTAACTTTAATTGACACAGTTTTTCATTCTTCAATAAAATTTTTTTAGAATTTAGAGTTTACAAAGAGCTTTTGCATATGATTTCACTACACCATGATTGGGGTTAACAATCATTATTATGTAATGATTAATAGTATCTTTAAAACTGCTGCATTATAAAATATGTGATAGGAAAAGAAAAAGTACCATTTTTTAAAATATTCCAGACCCATGAAAAATGTTTTGTGTTATTGTTTTAAAATTGCTTTATCATCTGTAAATGGTAGAATATTGCTGTAGTCCCTGTCTATACAAGGATGAGACAGCAGGATTGTAAGTTTGAGGACAATCTGGACAGCTTAGCAAATTCTAGGCCAGCTTGAGATACACAATGATACCTCTTTACAGGAAAACAAAGGTTGGAGATAAAGTTTGTTAGTAGAGCATGACCTTCCCCAGCCCCTCCCTAAACAAAATAATCATATTGAGGTGTTATTGCTATACAACTGCACACATTTTAATGTATGCAACGTGACGTGTTTGGGTATGTGGACATACCATTGAAGGCATCAACATAATTAGGAGTGTAGACCAACACCTTCAAAAGCTTCCTCATGTGCCTTTTATTCCTCTTAAGGTAAGAGCATCTAACACGGACCACAGCACATCCTTAAGTGCACAGTGTGTGAGGATGAACTGGGAACACAGTGCATTATTGCAGGTCTAGAATTCCATCATCCTTGTAACTGCCTCTGTGCAGCAAGTGTTTGTTCCCCGTACTCCAGCTCTGGTATCTCACAAGCCTCTGCTTCTTAGTGTTGGGCTGTGTTAGATACCTTTTCTCAGTTGAGTCATAAAGGTATGGCACACCATCCTCGAGTTCATGCATATCTGCCACTTAGTTGAACATCTCTCTTTTGGGGTGTTGAGATGTGAGACATGGTTTCATTCTGAAGTGCAGGCTGTATTAGAGTCTACTTTATATCCAAGGCTGGCATGGAAGTTACTACTTAGCCTAGGCTAGCCTCAAACTGGTGGTCATCCTCCTGTTTCACTCTGTGTAGTGCTCAGGTTATAGGTATAAACTATCGTGCCCAGGCAATTTCCTTCACTTTAAAGGATAAATAGCATTCCTTTGTGTGCATGTGCTACATTTTTTTCTACTGATGTCCACAATGGACACATCAGCTGTTTCTGTATATCCACTGTTATAAACAACACTGCATAGAGAGCATTGGTGTACTGGGATCTCTCAACATTATAGAATTTCAATTTCTTTGAGCTCTGAAATTTTACTTTGTTATAGATGCTTAATTAAAAAAGTGCTCTAATAACAGAATACTAGAAAATAATAATTTTCACCATTCCCCTTTCTTTTGTAGACACAAATGTTGAAGGACACTGGTTCTGCTATGGTGTAAAATGTTACTTCATCATGGACAATAAACACTGGAGTGGATGTAATCAGACCTGCCAGGGCTGCAGCTTTGTCCCTTTTGAAGATAGATGATTACAATGAACTGGTACTGTAGACACTTACATGCTTCTTTATTCTTAGATTCCTTCTCTAACCCTTGGAACTCAGATGCTGAGCCCAGGCAGGTTTGCTGAAAGAGAGACCTGTAAGTGTTGTCCATGGTTTGCCTGTAACGTGAGCAAAACCTATGCAGTAAGAGTATCCTAGGCTACTCCTTCCTCCTGCTGGCTTAGTGTCAGGACACAGGGTCTGTTATGAGGAGACTGGTTACTAAAGAGAGTTGTGTCTTTGCAGGCTCCTCCCTTTCTCAGAAGTCTGCAAGAGAGTCCCTCAGAGAAGCATGTTTTCCCAAAATAAGTTTAAACCTTTGGTACAGCACATCCTATGACTGACAGTTATGTATCTCCATAGAGTGCCAACTCTACCCAGAGAGGCCATTGTCTAGGGTTTGGTCTTTGGAACCCAGAAGTGAGACTGCTTGAGATGAGTAATTGGATGACAATAGAGAAAGTAACTGATGTAGCACGAATCTTAAAAGTTCTTATTAATAAAATCAAACCCGGAGCCAGGTATTGGGGTGAACGCTGAATGATCAGAGAAACAGACAAGCCACAGCTACCTCTCCTTGCCAATTCCTCAGCTGATCCTGTTTCCTCAAACTGAAAGCCTCTGGCTGTTTCCTCACCCAAATGGATCTCAGCTGAACTGCTGCTCAAAAGCTTAAAAGCTTAACCAGGCCAAAAGCTAGTTTCTGGTCTTTACGCCTTATATCCCTTTCTGCTTTCTGCCATCACTTCCCGGGACTAAAGGCTCACTTCCTGGGATTAAAGGCATGAGTCACCATGCCTGGCTGTTTCCAGTGTGGCTTTGAACTCACAGAGATCCAGATAGATCTCTGCTTCTGGAATGCTAGGATTAAAGGTATGTGCTACCACTGCCTATCCTCTATGTTTAATATTATGGCTGTTCTGTTCTCTGCCTCTGGAATGCTAGGATTAAAGGTGTGAGTGCCACCATTTTCTGGCCTCTATGTCTGTCTAGTGGCTGTTCTGTTCTCTGACTCCAGATAAATTTATTAGTGTGCACAACATATTTTGGTAAACACAATATCACCAAAAACTGACTTCTGGGCCAGTTTAAAAAATGGAAATACATGAGACGTCCCATCTAAACTGTGAGTTTCCTGAACCCTCACACTCTAACACTGGTGCACTGTTGGGAGGAGGGTTGCAAAGGTCAATCCACTGCCATTCCTGACTCCTTTCATATCTTTTATCTCTGGAAAGATATCAACCATACTTATTTAACACAAATTAGGTGGTAATCCTAGTGTCTGAAGTTCTATGGTTTATGTACTGTTCTGTGGATGTTGCTCATGATGCCATTTTTTTAAATTTTTTTTTTTTGTGTGTGGTATTTACTAAGTTTCTTCTTCAGCTGCTTCAATAACTATCTGAATCAGTGGTATTCACAGTGGTAACTTTCTCAGGAACCTTTCATTCTGTGTCTGGGCAAATGGCAGGTCTGGCTCACTTCTATTCTAAATGTGGCCCTGCCAGTGTGGACAGCTAGGTTCCAAATCTGCAGGAAAATAATTTACTCGCTCTCCTTCAAGGACACTCTCAAGCAAACTGAGAAGACCTTATGGGGTGTATTAATATGTTCAAAGCACACAGATTAGTATTGTTATTAATTGGGTTTTTCTCTATGAAATATCTTTCATACAGGCTAACTCTGCTATTACTATCTTTATGTTTCAAGGTAGAATCAAACTAGAATTGATGGTGTTTACCATGAATGGCCACAGAGTTGATACATTTGTTTGTATCATACTGCATCATACAGAGTGAAATGGGCAGGTAGTAACATTTAGAGTGAGGTACCAGGGACGGAAAGGATGCCTTCCCCCAGGTTAAGGGATCTTTGTCGTCCTTGCCTATGCTGCAGAACTGTTCCCTGTGATGGTGTGATTACTAGGGTCATACCTGAGGCTTCAGGATAGAAGTCCCATGATCAGAAGGTTTCTGTGGTTTCCACAAGCATTTTCTTCAGTGGGAAGATGCAGTAACTTGAACACCTCTTTCAGTGTCAGCTTCTAATGGACCTAGCAAGAAGCTATGAGCTTAACCTGTGTTTCTTGGTTAGAAGACTAGGTGCACTCCAACATGGAGGTAAAGTTAAGAGCTCATGATGCAGAATGTGTACTCCATGTGTATCTTGTGAATAGTTACTGTCTGCTGGGTCTTTTCCTCTTTGCCCATGTTCAACACACATACTTTATTGATTGTCCCCTAATCATATCTCATGCCTGACCAATATATATATACTCATTCCCACTGTACTTTACCTGTTTTGTCTATGATCCATGGGCCACTTAGTTTCATTTTTCTTCCTCTTTTGTTCCTAGGATAAATCTAAACATTCTATTTCAACCTGGCTTACATCCAGGGTTGAAGGTAGGTTATCTTTTGTTGAAGATTTATCTGTTTGCCCTCTCAGCCCCATGGAGTTCTCTGTTTTTCATTCCCTTTCTACTATTCTTTGAACAGATTCTCATCAGGCTAATTTGGTTAAAACTCCCTGAGTTGCTCAGGCCATAACACCTTGTCCTGTTTGCCATGTACATTTATTTATTTTTTTAATGTTTTTATTAAAATAAGCATCATAGGAAATCAACTTTAGTGTAAAATTATACCTTAGCAATACTGAAAGTTAATTGTACTTGATGATGAAAAGTTAGTAGTGTGGAAGAGATAAAGAGTAGAATTGGGATCAAGAAACGATTTTTCTGTTTATTTTTATTATATTTTTTATTTTTTGTGAATGTATGTGTATTTATGTACCCATGTTACAGAACATCTGTAGTTAGAGGGCAATTGAAGGAATCACTTCTCTCCTTCTACTGTGTGGTATCTGAGGGTTAAATTCAGGTTGTCAGGTTTGGCGACAATGGCCTCTATTCACTGAGCCATGTCACTGGCCCAAGATCATTTTTTATGAATCTAGAGAAAACAAAAAAACTTTAGTAAAACACAATTCATTCTATATTCTGTATATTTGGGCAAATAAATTTTGTTTTTAAAATTGTGGTCTACATCAATATAAGCTTTGAGTTTTAAAAACTGACCATTATGTTTTGTTTTATAGTAATTTGACAACAATGAAATCATTAAAGGAAAGTGGAGTCTGTGCATTTCTTAGTTTTGGAGGTATATGTCATGATGATTGTGGTATAAAGCACCCACCCCTGTATCTGTGAAAAGAGAATGGATAAATGCTCTGATTCAGTTTGCAGTATAAAGGAAGAGTAAAAATGGAACATTTTTCATCTTTGTTGGTTTCCTGGGATGATTTTGTTATGCCCAGATTGGGACCCCAAAGACAAACCACCACAGACCTTAGGTTCAGAATGCAATTAGCATGGTTTATTTCTGTTTACAAGCCGCGGACAGGGAAGCTCGATCCAAAGCACTCACTTGTAGTCGTGAGGCCAGGAGGAACTTGCTTTTTCTTTGTGTGGCTAGCTTTTTAAAGGCAAAATCCACAAGCCCTTCAGGGGGGTTGGGGGAGTTTTGCACGGGTGCAACTCGGATTGGTTTATCTTTATCTCTGTTCTCTTTTAATTGGGTGAGGGTATGTAACCTTTGAATTTACTGGTTGGTGGTTACAATTTATTACTTTGGGGGCAGTCCAGCACAAGTCCCAGGCTTTGTCCTTGAGCCACCATGGGGGCTGGCTGGTCAAGCACGTACTGCACATAACTCTAAGTTGGTGAAGGGCCCCAGAAAGTAAACATCTGGCTAAACTTTGAGCAGTCTTTTGTTCATGGCCCTTCCAGAAACTGCTTGCTCAAGCCTCAGGAAACTGAAATTGAGGCCTGATCTCTGAGAGAAGACTGAGCAGCCTGTTATGGCATCTGCTTGGTCCTTTCAATTTGTGTCTGCCTAATGACTGAATGTCTTAACCACAGGACTCAATTAGCCAAGAAAACTGGGTAATAGATGGGAAAGGGAAGAAATTTTCTTCTGAAACCTGACTTAACACAGCAGAAGTCATCTTACTTCTTATAAAAACAGCAGCTTATGTCTGGAGAGAATGGATGCCATTTGTTCCAAGCCTGCAGTATCATTCTCTTTGTTCCCTGGATGTCACACAGATCCAAATACAGAACCATGAAAAACAGCATACCCATCTCCTTCTCACTAGGATAATCCATTTCTATAGCCCACTGCTGTCACATCACAGTTATGAACTAGGATGCAGTTGTGGGTGTCTGTTAGTTAGTTGGTTAGTGTCTGTTATTTTTTGTATGTAGGAGAATTTATTTTTAAAAATCATTCCTTTGCTGTAAAATATATTTCTAGATTTGATGAATAGTTCCCAGGCTAGTTCAAGGACTTCATACAACCATCCACAGTCCATATGTGTTCTCATCCTCGCTCTGTCTCATTGATTTGCTGATAAGTTGAGATCACATACATACAGTAATATTAAGTGAGGCCAGCTGGATGTCATGGCTCAAATTGATAATCTTAGAGATACAAGAGTTTGGTGCATCCTATATCTGCATAGTAAGTTTGAGGTTACTTGGGCTACAGAGTGATACTTTCTCATGAAGCATAATAATAATGATGGTGGAAATAATAAAACTAAGTGGCCCGTGGACATTTACTAGGGACAATCCATTTCTTTTATAGCATCATACTAAAATAATAAATCTCAAGAGAGTTAGTATTGACCAAGTAATATGCTCTACTACATAACCCATATTCATATTTGTCAATTTTCTGCATCATATCAGTGTCAATATTTCCTCACATTCTCTATTACCACATGAATTCACTTGTAATGAGCTTTAAATCTAAAACTGTTAGTGACTTGTGATGTCTGTTTTTGAACCTTTATATTAAAAAAAATCAACTTTTACCTTGTATTGTATATGTAACAAAATATACTCACTCTAGGTGATGAGCATTTGAATTTTAAAAACTAAGTACTTATCTTCAAAAATCACTGTACAGGCTATTTTTATGTCATCTTAATAAAACTTAAATA